AACTGGGAGCAGAGGTCCTCAAGGACTTGTTGGGTCAAAAGGGGAACGTGGGCCAACAGGACCAGGGGGACCTAAAGGGGGTCGTGGAGCAACTGGTAGCAGAGGTTCTCAAGGCGCAGCTGGGCCAAAAGGGGACCGTGGAGTAACAGGACCAGGAGGACCTAAGGGGAATCGAGGGTCAACAGGGAGCAGAGGTCCTCAAGGAGTTGCTGGGCCGAAAGGGGAACGTGGGCCAACAGGACCAGGAGGGCCTAAAGGGAATCGAGGAGCTAATGGAAGTGGAGGTCCCCAAGGAGCTACCGGCCAAAAAGGAGACCGCGGACTGACAGGACCAGAAGGACCTCAAGGGAATCGGGGAGCAACTGGTAGCAGGGGTCTTCAAGGAGTTGCTGGGCCAAAAGGGGACCGTGGCCCAAGGGGACAAGGAGGACTTAAAGGGAATCGAGGGGCAACAGGGAGCAGAGGTCCTCAAGGAGTTGCTGGGCCAAAAGGGGAACATGGACCAACAGGACCAGGGGGACCTAAAGGGGGTCGTGGAACAACTGGTAGCAGAGGTTCTCAAGGCGCAGCTGGGCCAAAAGGGGACCGTGGAGTAACAGGACCAGGAGGACCTAAGGGGAATCGAGGGGCAACAGGGAGCAGAGGTCCTCAAGGAGTCGCTGGGGAGAGAGGAGGAACTGGCAGCAGAGGACCTCCAGGGATTAAAGGGCAAAAAGGTCAGAAAGGTCAAAAGGGGAGTCACTCAGGGGTTACTCGTCCCAACCCGATTCCTCTTCCGCAACCTGAACATCCGCCATTTCCGCCAGAGGACTGTCCCGCACCTTTGCCATGGTGTTAAATGTCCAGACATAACATGATCCTTATTCCTTAGTAGGGTACTCATAAATTTATGCATTCTTATTACATTTGTTATGCTTATATATACAGTATTTCTAAAACCACCTCAGCTCCCCTGAGAAAAGACAGTTTCACCTCGCCATTCTTTGGGGGAAGCTGATTCAAATATACCAAACCCTATTTTCTATATTTTCAAACTTATTCAGTTGTGACAGAAACAGACACAATAATAGATGAAGACATTTTGGCTGTGAACAAAACTCTGTGTTAGTTCATTAGTTCTACAATTTCTAGAAGGAAGTTGAGCTGTGTTCTCTAGTACAAAGACACAAATATAACAAAAATGAACTCACAATGTGAAGACTTTGCCCCATTCAGGATTGAGTGTCTTGTACAGGGTCTGGGTCTGCAGTCTGCTATTGACCAGCTCCAGGACACAAAATGGGTCACTCTTGCCTACAGGAAAAGGATTATTTTGAAATAATACAATAGTAATATCTGGAAGATTCAAATTTGCTTCAGAAATCCACACTTTAATCATCCTTTTCTCTATGAGGAGTGTCTCTTTGGAAATTGCACAGTATGTACCGAAGGTGTAACATATACATGTAGGTGTCCTATGAAAAGTTACAACAATCTGGACAGCGAAGCAAAATCAACTTTTGGAAAGCAGTTCTTTCCTCCACAATCAGCCACCACATGAACATCAATCCTAGAAAAATGAAACACCTTTTGCCTTGCTCTAAAAATCAAAGAAAAATGTGGGGTATTCTGAAAGAAAACAAAGTGTGCTCATAAAAGACAGAAAATTCAATAATCCACCGATTCCTCAGGAAATGATTTGTCCTCCACAGAAATATACCTCAGCAACAAAAACGGGACAAAAAAACAGAGCTGTTTGTTTTTGACATCACAAAATGGTGAACACTCACCTCCGAGGTCTGCTGATGCTAAGCCTTGTGCTTTGATCACTGAAAAAAGAACCAAGCACTGTTTATCATTTCCTTATTGTGTTGAAAAACTATCATATACATGTAATATGGAATTGGGATAAATGTTTATATTTTGGGTTGCTATCAAACTGTTTGAAATTGGAAAAATTTTAGTTTTCAGACTGAAAATTAATCATCTATATGTCGGCTATGTTTACAATTGATATAAATGCTCGAAATGATCAACTCATACAACACCTTTCACATTTTGCAGGAAAATGCCAAGGCATGAAATATTATTGACATGCACACTTACAAGTAAAGGGTTTTAAAATCAGCTGCGTTACCTTATGTTTTACAGCTTACGGTTGAGAAAAACCTTAAAAACAGTCTAAATTATCTTCAAACTTCAGCCTGGACTTTTCCCATTTACACACCCAAAAGCTATACTCAGTTAACCACCAAAATAGATAGAAACTGCAGATTTAGAAGAATCCCTTTATCCTGAAGAGTTATCTTTTATCATACCATTTATATAAACTTACTTTTAAATGTAGGAAATATAAAAAAAAATTGTAAAGCTTTATGTTTCTTGTCTCAATAATGCTGCTAATTAAATGCGACATTAATCTTGGAAAGTGTGAAGTTATTTCAACCCCTTGCATATGAGGGATTTTTTCAATACGTTTCCATGGTAACGTGTCATGCATGATGGCCACGAGCATGGGCAATATGTCATTTGGTGTAATTACTTTCTCGGGTGATTAGGGCCTAGGTGTGAATCGATAACAGAACACCTGCCTACAGTGTGTGAGGTCACAATGCAGGTGGGAGTGGGGTTAGAAGAGTGGTGATTATCACAGTGATGTCATTGAGTGAATCACAAACAGTGCCCAGCTCCGACAAGCCCAAACATGCACTGCTAAATTTCAGACATTTGGGATGAGGACAGTGATGAAGATGATGGTAAAACAGTGGTGATGTAACCATGGTAACATGAGCTCCCTCACCTTTGATCTGAAGCCAGCCAACATCCTTCAAATCTTTCAAGCTGTTCAGAATGCCCTGCAAGACACAAACTCTAATGTCACTGGTACCGTATAACGTGCATGCACTGTTAACTACAGAAATGGCAAATGTGGAACCTGCCACAAGTCAGGCCGTGTCTGAAAGTTGTGGCTGTGGCTAGAAATAACGTAAGTGCCAATGGATGGGTGCTCATGGATAGCATAATGGCTGTGCTAATGGCTAGCATAATAGCTCTGATTTAGTTTGTGGCTTACACTTAATGAATTATTTCCCCAGCTCAATATATATGTAGTTTCATTTTCTTGTAGAGTGCCATCTATTAGAAGGCCACCACTCCAGCATTCTCATTTGGTCTCAAAGGACACTGATCTACACAGGGGGCCACAGCCAAAAATAAAGCTAAGATGTGAAAACTGGCACTGTTTATAAACCATTACAGAAGGGCATGTGAGTTTTAAGTTATCAACATTTTCCACTGGTCATACAAGTTTCCAAGTCTTTGACACGCACATGTTTGGGGCCTTTTGTAACTGTGCTGCGATAGCAAGAGGGCGACTTACGTATTTCCTGTGGAGCATCCTGACAGTGTTGGGGTCGTGCTTGAAGTTGGCCAGATCTGAGATGCTCTCCGTGCCAGCCGTGCCGGTGATGGTGAGGAGGAGGGACAAAGTCCCCGCCCCATCCTCTAGCTCCAGGTCACAGTGGTGAGTCTCCTCCCGCTTTAAGCTCGCTATGTCAATCTGACATCTGATACAGTTAAAAAAATACACATTTGTCATTAGAAAGATATTTCCCTTGGCACTTTCATCTACAGTCTTTCCTGGATCTAAACCCAATACAAAAATTGCTGAATGATATTTACTCGCCTTGTAACAATTTTTTTTCTCTTGAACCATTAAGCTAATCTTATTCACGCAATTTCTGTTCTCCATTCTCTCCATCTAACAATCTCTAGAGAGTACCACAATATGGCACGAACAGCAAAATTCCTCGGGCCAACAAACAGTAGCATGTCAATACTTAGTCTTGGTTCAACATGGCTTCAGTATCATGATTCTCTGCATTCACAAAGATGTCTTGCCAGGGCAACTGAATCTTATCACCCATAGAGGGCGCTATCCAGAAGCTGGATCAAGCAAGTTTTACTCTTTGCAAGTTGCCTGAAAATGTCCAAGGCTATGTTCAATCCAATCAGATCCTTCACACCTCAAAGTCTAAATACAAACAAAAAAAAAGATTGTTCATGAAAAAATAATGGGGTTGACCTTCCCATGATGTCATCTTTGGAACCAACATCCTTGTCCCACACTGAGATCTCCAGCATATTAGTCTGGTCCTCAAAAAGCCTCAGGTCAAACTGTTCCATCCATTTGGGATTCAGGGTACCCTTCTCTGTCTACAAGATTAAGAATAGTATCATTTATTGAGAATCATGCAGACATACAGCCTTAATTGTTTGCCTTCATCATAGGCTTGAATATGTGCATGTGTCCTCTAAAGGACCCTATAAACAAGCAAAACTGAAATTTGCTCCTGATTCACATATATAAGCATTTACAATGCATTTTTTCCTTATTTTTATTTGGGGGGGGGAAGAGTTTTGAAAGGTTGATGCAAATCAGATTTGAGTAAATCCAAAGTACCCGGTATCCGATTCCTTCCAGATGAAAAATTGAAGATTTCCAGAATCATACAACTTCAAATACATCTGGCAGAAAATTTGGGACAATCTTTATAACACTACCAATGGCCTACCGGTACCCGTAACAAAAGCAAGACAATAAGGAGGTGCCGGTATGGTAACTTTCCAAGATTAGATGTGATACTACATGCAATAACTGTGCAGTCTGGAATCAAATCTTGGAAGAAGTACACTTACGGAATTCAACTCCAATTTCTAAGCCTAGCAGCAATTCTATTCAATTCTGCCAGGAAGTTGCCCAACCCTAGAGAAAAGGTACAATGGATGTCTACCTTGCTCTTATATTTCTCACTGCCGAGCTTGAATTTAATGTAGGGGTCACTCAGCCCGTTGTCATCCATGGGGATTAAGTTCTTGCCCTCTAGTAGCGTGATGGTGATAATGCCATTCCAAAGCTGGGACTTGACTTTCCGGGAACCGGACGGGTTTTCACTTTTTCTTCGCTTTGATAATGAAGTTGCCTGCAGAACAAGTAATCCACATTTTTGTTTCAGAACTTTAATTCCCTTTAAAGAACTACATGTTTGTCGTAAGGCAAACATTTCTCCTAACCTTAGGTTCCCGGTTTTGTAGCCACACCCCACAAGCTACATGTATATCAGTACTGAGTGGAACAAACAGACAGCTGGCTGAAATGAAACCATGCAGCAAGTAACCAAATGCAATGAGTTTGTTGCGCTGTTTACTGTATGGGCTCCCTGTGCTTGAACAGAAGATGGCACACTGAAGAGCAAAGAAATGGAATGCATATTACTCTGCAGGTTAAGGAAAAGTCTTCTAAGAAATAAGGCCGTGATTTTCTTTTAATATTCTTTTACAGTATTTCAAAGTCTGTGTTTCTAATTCTCATTATATCAAATACTGTTTTTTTAGCATGATTTACTCCGATACAATTCAATAAATCTGATAAATCCCCCCTCCCTTTCTGCTTTTTGGCAGTCACCTGAATTTTCGAATTTCTGTTTTTCCACTTTGGTAACATAGTGAAGAATGCAGAGAGTCCACAGGAAATGAAATGCCAGCAGTTAGAAACCCATCAGGGGGCCAAATTCTCTAGATGCAGTTACATGTAATTTCCCTGAAGTTGAGAGATGTCTTCAAGGATCAGGTTACTCTAGAATTCAAATTTCTCCTGGGAAATTAAACCAAGGGAGTCGGGTACTATTCATGAATGCAAGAGATTGCATCCTGCCACTGAAAAAAATGCAATAAAAACAGCTCCTGCAGTCAGACTGCATAATTCCATAGAGATGCCAGTGGTAGTCAATAATAACCATGTGTGGATCATTTCCCTGCGGTGTAAAAAGGATTATTTCCCATGATATTAATGCATCAAATGTCAACAAAATTGTACCCATGTCCAGACAACACTAAGTACATGCATTAACACATGTACCAGCAAGGACCATTAAACATACATTGTACATGTAGCCTGCATGTACATGTACATGCACTGTATCCTGTATGGTATGTACATGTACATATGTACATGTATATTCTAAAATTCTTAACATTTCAACATGTGGGGAAAAAATCAAAGTATTAAATAACCCAGACAGGATTGGACTTGACATACAAGTTCATACTATACACTTTGTGTCAAGATGAAGCTTGCTACCTGAATGTGTAAATGATGAGCAGTGTGTGCAGCATGTGCATATGAGGAATTTCTGTAAACACGAGCACAATCAGTCATGTACGGTACGTGTGCAGTGCACTTTTGTAAATGTCACTTCAAACATCTACTGGTAGCTGTCAATTTCCATGTACAGACTGTCAATCTTCAAGTACTGATGAGAGGGAGCAGTGTACATGTGCATGTACTTGTAGCATAATCCCATTAGCCACCTAATAAATCTTGAGTCATGCCATGAGGCAATGGACTTGAACCAATCAATATAGATCTGTGCCTACATGTACCGGCCTAGGGGAGGGACTCTAGATACACCGGGAAATGTCAGACCTGCTGTCTGGGCACATGTCCGAGCATCCTTGGTGTACCATATTACCAGTCATTCATGAATACCTAAGATGGTCTCCCTATTCAAAAGCGTGCAACTTGACTATGTCTTGACATTTGATAACGACTACAGCATTAACCATGCGCTGCTACCGGTACTTGGATGCGATTCTGATTGGTCATGAGTCTGTGTGAATGGGGCTCGCCATGCGCGTGCCAAGTCCACATATAAGGAGATTCTATTGGATAACTTGCAAAAGGAATATACCATAAAATGGACAGGGGTGTTCGGGAAAATGAAAGCAAAATTCTACAACAAAAATCACTGGAAATCCATCATATATTGACTAATTCGTTTGACTCTCAGACTAAATAAGGTATTCATGAATGGAAATAAATACATGTATGTGCTTTGCCGGTCTTAGACGTGCATTTCAGACCGGCTCAGGAGAATGGATGGACTAATGCCTGAGCAACATTTTTTGCAAAGCTCATTGGCATTCCCTTAGTAATATGATTAGTGGACCCATATAAACCAAGCGAAGCAAATGAACCATGAAGTGCGGAATTTAGCACTAGCAGTAGCTTGTTGGAATGAATCTGTTTATCTTTGCAGAGGAAAAACTGTCTTGAAACTGTAGGAACTAATGCAAATGACAAACAGACTTTGAAATCAAGGAGGTGAAATGACCACCACACTCAATTCAACCCAGTGATCTGGATAACTCTGTACTAACTCAGTATTGTCACAAACCCGCAAGAGGGAACCTGCCTTCCAAGGCACATCCTGTGTTTGTTGACAGATCTCCACTCTGCAGGAATGATGTTTATAAAAGCATCAAAACTGCTGTGAACCATACAGTGCATGTAGTTTACAGGACATCTTTGTGGTTTTTAACAATTTCTATTTATTGTTACTGTCAGAGTGAAAATAAACAACATGTGACCAAATGCCTCCCTTAGGTTCTTGTACATATACGTACTTGTATAATTGAACACTACAGTGCACATGCTCATTCAGACAATTGGGACTGTGCATTTAACAATTTAAATCCAGTGAACCGGTAAAAAGATATTTTCCGATTTCTTAAGAACTGACATCTGGTCTAATATATGGAAAGACTGCAAGTATCCCTGGTGTTACATCCTATACAATGCATGGTAGCGTAGCCCACATGTTGTCAGATTGTTGAGTGAGTGATAAGCAGACAGCATTCCCAATTACACATGTACAGTAACTGTCTGTCTGCCTACAGATTCCTGAGCATGGCAGTTCAATGTACGGCAAAACTGTGCCAATAGAACAGCAAATGGATGTACATGTACATGTACTGGTACCTCACTTGCATGTCCGTAGTCTTGGAAACAGGAGTGGGTATACATGTACATCTATATGTACAGATATGTCCAGATCAATAATGGAATCTGTGTGGACAGCGGGCCTGACAGTGTCTGCGGAGGGGGGGGGCAGCCAATCAACTTGAAGACAGGAATGTCTGTAGCCTTGGTTAGGGACAAGTGAATGCCATCAATGATTGAACTTGAACAAGACAGATGATGCAATTATACCGCCCTGCTGAGCACAATGTCAATTGATTAGCTCATGAAATGAAATATGCAAATTAGCACAGAGGGGATGATAAGTGACTTGCATGTCCAAAATAATGGCTGAACGATGATGTTAGAACATGCATTTGAATAAACCGTACTTACACCAAATATAGGACAAGTCTAATCATTCTAATCTAATCACAACTTTGCCACTGTGTCACTGCCAGTCAATAAAACATGTACACGCTCAAAGGACATTTACATGTTTCTTTACATCAGGCTAAAAAAAAGCAGATAAACATTACCAGCTTCTAAATACCTGTAAACAAAAAGTGAACTCTGATAATGCTTAAAAAACAAAGAAAATGTAAAATACATATGATTCCGTGAAGCTTTTAACCCTTGATAATCTGCCAAATATTTCAGGAGGACAATTTATTATAGGCATACTGTTTGTAACAATTTTCTACATCACACTTCCGGTTTAAGTGGGACCTAAAAAAAATTCAAAAGATACTTGGACAGGGCCAGATCCAGGAATCTTTCCAGGGTGGGGGGTCAGGCCGGAGATTTTCTTTTAACCAATGATGAAACATTACATGACATAGATTGTTTACAATGGTATTGGTGCACTTGAACTGTAATAATTTTTTTAATTTTCACCTTTTCTTCACTTTTTTTAGAGTGGGAGGAGGGGACCTCCCAATCTCCCCCATCCGCACCCATTCCCCCCATCCGCACCTGTTGTAACCAGAGCGCCTCTTGCTCCTGAAGGGAAATATGGCACCTCAAAGTCATTCAACCATCCATGCCCAAGATATGAAAAGGGTGTTAATGTCACACGTTGTACAAGCTACATGTAACACTCTGTCAGCCTCGGGGGACCAAGAGCTTGTAGGGGTACACCGTTTCAGCTTTGGCTTGCTGCACAATACAGTCAGAGGTAACCCAAGATGGAGTTTTGGGGTTTTTCAAATTGCTCAAGAAAAAATCCAATCCACGACTGCATTCATAATTTGGAATAAAAAAATATTACGGACGCTGTAATGGTGCGTGTTTCTGGATTGCCAGAATTGAGCTAATCTTGGTGGAAAATTCAGGACAGGATGTTCCAACAGAAGGCTCTCTCTAAATGGGATTTTAAGAACTATTGTTGAAATTTCCATTAATGTAACATCATATTGCGTCTGTTAAAAATGTATATACACAGTACATGTACATGTTCTGGAGATCAATTCTGGGCTTATCCACTTCACTGCACACCAAGTGCTATACATAGAAGTAATTATGTAAGAGTTGACCATCCACGTTACAATATATCCCCAAGGCACTGATACCGGTACAGAACGTCTTGGTTGCCATGGCGCCTGCTGGTATTACAAGGCATCCAGCAAAATACAAGCGGTTTCAAGAACATGCCAAGTGGCAATCTCGTGACAATAATCCCAATATACTCATATGAGTGTCTAGCCCCTCCCCTTGTCAGTTTGGAAGTTGGAATCTCGAGATGTGTCTGCTGAATTTGGAATGCTCAGGATTAAGGTGAGCAGCGTCTTAATTACCCATCCAGACTGAGCGCTTGATTAGGGAGAGTTCAAAGCTAGAGTGCCACCAAGACCTGATTGTCTTACATTTTCATTTCTTTTTACTGCTGCCTGTAACATGAAAAAGAAAAGGATAGAGGCAGTGTTGACTGCAAGGGGTTCAAAATGTTTCATCAGAGATACATGTAGGGCTACTTGTTACAGTCTATGCAAGATTAGAGATGCTGTGTGGCTAACCCAAATGTGAAGGCACCCTACACTTATGATATCACTTTTGAGAAGGGACATGCAAGAGTTCATGCCCAGATAACCTGTGGAAATTTCGATACACTGTGAGGTGATATTTTCGTCTGAGTTCAGCTGCGATCGAGCCAATCAACAAACTGTGGTAGCCGCTTCATGCACTCAAAGGAAGATGGCATTTCTCTGACAATCCTATTACAGCATAAACCCACAAGTCTGTTTTTCATTTCAGAGGGATCTAATCCTCAACCAAGTCCCGGGGGTGGGGGGAGGAGATGATGATGCATCTGTTTGTCCGACAGACGTGACAGGCAAGATCTTTTCAGTGTTTATCACCAGACTGAATCAAATCTTGAAACCTTGGCAAAATGTCCAAATCCAATTTGGCTCGCTTTCCTCATCTTTAATAGACATCTGGATTCATACCCTTGATATGATAAAAATTTCTACATGACTTCTAGAAACTCTGCGCCTACATGTAACGATATTATCAACTGATTTGAAGTACAGTGCAGTTCATCCTTGATGCAAATTACATGTACATGCAATGGCTAACAGTAGCAGCACTGAATTCCATTTGAGAAGGACATGTTTGTTATTCAAAAAAGTCAGTATCATCTAAAAATAAAATGCATTTGCAAATACGCCACGAACCGTATTAAAATAGAATCTAGTCCATAAACACTGAATATGTACACGTACATGTACACAGTGTACATGTACGTGTAGTCAGACTACAATGTACATGTATGATACGTAACAATCTCTTGAAAATGCGCATTAAAATTACTACAGCTATTAACATGTTGACTGCCGCGCATAATTTCAAAGGGGCATTCCCATTTGCCCAGCATTGTACGCATGCATGCATATTTAACAGTACTTGTACCTTTCAGGCACCGGTGTCTTTGAAAATGAGCATTTTACGGATGTACTGTACGCCCCCCACATTGCCAGGAGCGTATTTGCTATGTTTTTCAGTCATGCCAGCGTATTCAATTTACATTACAATAGCTTTTCATTTTCTACAAGTATACTGATGGTGGCAGAATCCAGTACACCTGTGACTACCAGTCTACTCATAATTGGCAGTCAATGTGTTAAACCTCATGAAGCAACGGTAACCTGTGCGTGTACCGGTACATGTAGAAAACATGTTTTGTTCCATCTGCTGTCAATTTAAAAATTCACAGTCAACAGACATGTACGGATCGCTAGTTGTTTGTGTTTAACAAAGGTTTCATGCCAGGTGTATTCACAATGGAATGAATTCACAGGGCGGATCTCAGATAAATCCATATGGGTCATGTTCCAGACCTCAACTTTATCCTCGACTTTGGAATTATCTCTCTCCACAACCATTCCAACTGTGGGTGTAGATGGCATGAACGGACACTTCTGCCACCATGTCACATTCTTTTTTCTGCGCCAGGCGCTACTAAATTAGAGGGCCCAAAATTTCCCGAAGCCAAATGCACAGACAGAGTCAAAGTTTGGAAAATTGCTAAGATCATGTGACATAAATTCCAGGGTGTACAGTACCTGGCACAGACCCCTGGAAAAGCAACAAGTCTGGCTGACAGCCAAATTATGTTTATCCTCTGGCTGTTGTATCAAATTTACACTACCAGACTACAGGCAGATTTGTATGAGCTGTCACATGCTGCAGAGTGATACCGGACAAATGATGGTGAGCTCATGTCTGCAATGAGTTCCAAACAAAGAGGTTGGGTGTATCAGCCATTACAGCAAGCGATGTCACTCGGTAGCATGACCAGCGGCGTGCAGATTGGTGGCTTGCGGTGGGATGGAGATTTATTAAAACTCAAATCGGGAAGCGGATAGAGGTGAAATTGGGATGATTAAAAAGGGTTAGACGGGACGGAAATTTGATTCAGCTACTACTGTACAAAACGTTGGCTGTGCGTCTGACGGTGGTCCAACATTGTGGGCCGGCACTCTTATAAGCATTCCGGGAGGGGTTTTTGCACTGCAACAAGGTACCAGTATTTTCATAGGTAACCAAGCATGAGTGAAGCAATGCATAAAACTATACATGTATACATCGCACACATTTTAAACAAAGACAGCTACAGTTTCTATGCCAAGAACTTTGAGAAAATAGAAAATGTACATGTGCACGTAAGTACTGGAAAGTGACTGGGTAAAAACAAACTCTGAAACTTCTTGCTTTTGATGCCGGTACATGTACATGTACATGTACATGTACATGTACATGTACATGTACATGTAATAGGCATGCTTTGACAGTGGGCGGCAAAATATTTTCCTTATTAATAAAGAAAGGGAGAGGAGACAAAATTCCATTTTAGTGAGGCAGTCTGTGGCATACCCAACACACATTGTTAGTATTGATTAGTGACAGTGGGAAGCCATTGCACATACATGTACATGTCATTGCATTGTAACATTGTGACTCATGGGTTTAAACATCAATCTACACGTACCAGTACATGTACTCATTCAACCTTCATGTAAGGTAGAGCCTGGGCACTTCTTCCCACCTGTAATCTTGCATCTAATTAAACTCTGCCATTCACACACAGCAATGGCTGTAATTAATGATGCACAAGGAATGATTCATTCCCGTTCTTCCCAAGAGGCTAATTAAACGATAACTTTCTCTTAACCACTCCAGCTGACAAGGTCATGCAGGACTGCCTTGGGCAGAGCGCCAGTGCGCGCATGGTGCAGCCAAGTTGCTGCAGAAACAACAAGTTACCGGCCAATATATGCTACGTGCTGCACATTGCCCATGACTGGTTCACAGCTGATATCTGCTGCACACTGAGAACTGCTTCGCCAAAATAAATTACAAACTGCGAATCCCACTGGCACAAAATTTCCACTCAATCATCCAACTGTTGGTGGATGAATTAAGGATTGTTCGGTTTAAATGTAACTTTCATTCAACCTCAGGGGGGATGTGTACTTTTCATTGCAGTTTTTCAGCCGATTCGGCATCTAAACTTATTTTTTGCTTTGCTTACTGCTTGTATGTGAAATCCACAGTGACCGTCTTAACTGACAACTGTGCACTTACATGTAGGCTGCTGAATACAGATTAGTTCCAGGGTTGTAGAAGACCAAAACTCACCCGTATGCTCTCTTTGTCTTCAGCCTTCTTGACGGGCGAGATGATGAAATCCACTAAGATGTGCCCTAGGAACTCCACACTACCGGCCTCCTTCAGTTCTAGCTTCTTCTCGTTCAGGCTGAATCCAGAGTAAATAATTAACAATCAATTAGTTACCAATACGGATGCTGATTTAAACTACTGGATCTCTTTTTTGGGGGGGTGGGAAATACCTCTTTGGAGGGGTTGAAGAAAGACACCAAAAGCTTAAATGACGTCTGTGTGGCCAAACCAACACCTACACAGTGTCCTTTTAACACTGGCCCTAGACCAAACAGCAATATTGATATTGCTCGACCATCTGTCCTAAGAATTTTGTTTTCCAAAATGAAAATTAAAACCTGTGAATGGTTTTAGAAAGCCTCAACAAAATTCAAGGCATTGCCTTGATGTGACTTCATGTGAGGCAGCGAAGAGCTCTTTCAAATTTCTTCACCATCGAGCCTGCCAAGGTCCTCCGGAAGGCTGAGAGTCAAACACAGGTGCATCGACTTACCATTCTGGTTCCAGCGACAGCAGGTCAATTCTAACCGAGCCCATGGGGTCGTCAGAGGCGAACCCCCTGTCCCGGTCCAGAACAAAGATGTCCAGTGGCTTGTGGATGTCGTCAATGGGCAGTGTGAACTTCTCATCCCACTTAGGGTTGAGGTTCTTGTAGATGATGTGGCTCTTGTAGGCTGTCTTGCCCGCGATGCGAAACTTCACATACGGATCACTTGTACCTGGTCACATGTGACAAACAATGGGTTAACTGATCAAAATGTGTTAACAGATCTCTCTACAGATGGCGTGGGTGCATAAGAGAGTGCAAGAGTAAACACAAAGTGTGGCGTCATCATAAATGGGTCAATCCAATCATTTTCCATTCTGTTATGTTCAAAACCTGGTTCTGCAGGATTTCACAGAGTTCCAAAATGTACAACCTTGTAACGGTGCAACTTTCTATTTTAAACACAGTTTGGTGTCCACAGAAGGCGAATAAAAGCCTCACTTTTGCACTGCACTGCTTAACCCTAACCCTCCTCAATCCTTCACCTGTTGGAGGATTGAGGAGTGTTAGGCTTAATTTGGTGCACTACAAATTCTTGAAGAGCAAATATTGTCATAGACACAATACAAGCCCAGAGTATTTGCAACTGTCTGAAGTTTATACACTGAACTTTTAAGGTTCAAAATTCAAAAGTTTCTGAATTCAATAAAAGAGATTTCAGGGAATTCCCAATCAGTACACTGTATTATTTTTTAATTTTAAATTCAAAAAAATGTAACCACCCCTCCAAAATGTACTGAAAAATCACAGGGAAAAATTCTCTCCGGCAGATTCAGAGCATATATTTGTGAGTAAAGCCTGAATGAAGCCATCAAAATCAATGTTAAGAAGTAGACACAGCAATGACTGCATTATCTGATCCAGGTGTTGAAGAGCCCTCTAGCCCACTTGAAATCAATCAAACAATTACAATGATTGGATTTATCAGCATGCCATCTAACCCCTCTAGAAAATCATTTCCTCACTGCATGGCTACCGGTAGGTTTTTGTTGCCTCGTGCATTTTTCATCTAAAAACAAAATCTCAACATTCTCAAAGATGTCAAGAAAGGGTACCATTATTTACAGTATACTTTGACTAAAATGTTCTGCCATCCATGTATTTAGAATTATAAATTGAAAAGTAGAGCTTTTGGTCATTATGAAAAATCATTTTATTTCCCTTTTGCTTTTCTTAATGGCATTTGCCCATTTAAAATACGGTGTTCCCTAACATACATGTCTCTAAATGTAGAAAAAACAGAGCATATTTGATACATGAAGATGATTGAATTAAATGGGGTACATGTATCATGATGGAATTGGCCCATTTAATAAGATACATGGTCCATCCATTCTGCAGGGCACTGATCTAAAAGATGGATTTTAAGGATCATGAGGAAATCACTTCTTGTAGCTTTTCCTTAATGGAATTTGTCCATCAAAAAATGGCTACTCCATGTACTATTAGGAGAGTGTTCGCAAATGGCCAAATCAGAAGACATACATGTACAGTATCATACCGGTACATCTGGATGTCAGGGGAAAAAAGAGCTGGGGCTCTTGAAAAATGAGTGGATAATTTCGTTTATGGAAGAACACAGCAAGCATAATGTGTACGTGTACATCAAGTTTTTTTTCTGTTTTGCACAAACCTTTACCTACATGTACATGTACAGTGATTGACTGACGAGATTTGAGGTTGAGTTTCTACATGCACATGTAGTTCAATGGACAGAATCAAACCAGGCACCGGTAAGTCTTTTATCTCGAGTTTGGTCCAACACACTAAACAAATTCTGTTGGAAGTGAGTGCGTAATTGTTAGAATCTCTTGGCTTCAGCATGTGTTTTATTCCTCCATGGATTCCGCAAGCAACATAACCTGCTATCTTGGACTGTTTATGCTCAGACAAAAAGCCTGCAGAGAAGCCAGCTTACATTAATCCTAACCTTTCTGCATCCTTCCAAATCCACTAGCTAGTTTTCAAAGGATTTTGTAGGATTGAGAATGGTAGGACCCACCCACTGGTAATTGGCTTGATGTCCCCAAAAAATCAGTGCAAAGAATGAGCCATTGGTTTCCTGAACACGGGTGAAAGTTAAAGATTCAGGCTCATTGCCAACATTAAAAATGTTTGAGTAAGTGCTTACCACTTCTGTCCCTAATGGCCAGATCGCAGCCTTCCTTGAGATGGATGTCCAATTGGAAGAAGTTGTATTGCTGAAGGAGGGATCGCCAAGATTGAGAGACCTCCCCGACTGGGAGGACGGTCATAGGGAGGTCACCCCCGAGGCGTTCCATCTCCGGCATTGTCCCGTTGGCCGAGCTGTTGGTGTTGGGTGTGGAGTCGTGCTCGCTAATGCTGCTGGGCTGGTAGCCTTCGTCCACGCTGGTTGGGCTGAGCAGTGACTCGTCGTCGGTCACTGAGTCGTGTGCTATGTTGGTTGCTTCCTGCGACCCCCGCGATTTCTTGATCTCTAGAAGTTTCTGCCGGATAATTTGTGGCTGTAATAGAGAGGATTAAAAAGAAAACAACAGCATTACTATCGATGACTTTCCACAGAAAAAGACGCATTTCCAGAAAGTTGATACAATCAGTGGAGAGCGTGTAATATAATACCTTTCCTGTATATATACGAATTCAAAGACAGCTGGACCAGTTTTAGATTGACATGTATTTAAAGATACTGTAATATAAAACCTTTTTCCAAATGAGCTTTTCTGATCTAATGACTAACATTTTTTTCCAAGAACAGATGATGTGAAACTTTCAGTGAAACACAAGCAAATTTTAAAAAGCCAATTATATCTTCATATCAGATGGCCCCCCAAAATTGACCTCAATGGACCCTTCCTATGAAATATGCTAATTGCATTCGTGCATGCCCACAAACACCACTGGTTAGCAAGAGCGAAATGTTCATTTGCCAATCCATTGAGGGGGCTGTTTTTTGTTTACATTCTTCCTAGCTTTTTTTTTTCTCATGATGCTGCTGGCCTGCTATGTTCCGGGTTGCCCTAGCCGCAAGGCCAAGGGTTTACACGGTGAAAAGACCATATCATTTTTTTCGATTTCCAAAGTCCAATAAGGGAAAACAAGCAGCTTGGTAATGTGCAGTTACTAGAGGTTGGCAGTGGGAGCAAAAAGATCATGACCAAGTGTGCAGCAAGCACTTCGTTGGAGGATGGCCGAGCAATTGCCCCGAGGCTGACAGTTACCATCCTCTCAAGCTGAACACCTGGCAGATCAACCAAGAGAGCCCACGACAAGCTGCTCGACTTCAACGGGTGACGAAGCGTCGAGAAATCATTGTAATTAGCTATTTTATTTCCTTTTTTTTCTCTGAATTGCACATCTCAGGAAGAATTTTATTAACATGATTTAACGGACTTCATTGATCTGTCCTTACCCCAGTGGTAGGCCTATCAACCATCAGAAAAGGATAGCATGTCCTAAAAAGGCTTAAGAGTCATATTTAGCAGGGAAAACATTGAAGCATATGTACATGTACATGAACTTCGAAAATACCTGGAAATTATCATACATGTACCATTACCGGTCTCATGGGGTTTGTGCACAAGGTGTCAAGTGATATCCATGTATGGAACTCTTTCTCAAATCTCTTCAAGTTATTGCAAACAATTATTTGACCCAGCAACTGTCATGACTGGGGCTCAAGAGATTCATTTGAATTTTTTTTTAACTGAATTCTTGGATCTGTCTTGGTGCCTCGGAGCTTACAGGTCTACACATTATGCTTGACTTTAATATGATCTTCCTGTATATACCCTCAAACTCAATATTTGATAAAATTCATCTTCACGTAGGATGCTGAGGAGAATGAGAAACAGAAGAGAAAAGATGAAAAAAATCCAGCCGGAAAAACATCAGCTGCCCTCAATGCATCACTTCACAGGCACAACTACATGTATTACTCGGCCCCTACCCATGATGGTGATGAATGTACACATGCCCATGAAGTGTGTCAAAGTTTGTTAATTTGTCCAAATATCCTGACATTAAGTAATTATTCAGGATGTCCATTTCCTTGTCATCATGATATTATAGTTAATGAAACCAAGACCAGTGAAATTACAATGGATTCTTGCATGCCAATTGGGTAAAAAGCAGTCAAATGTTCATCCGAAATTGATGAAAAAGTGGTCTCTTCAAAATCCTCAGCTCAATGTTAATGGCAAACACACTGGAATAAGTTTGTTTGTAATTGACGTGTGTCTGATGAATAGTTTACTTCTCATCTACACGGTTAATGTCTTTGGTAAGAGGGGTAAGGGAGATTTTACTTGCATTTGGAAGTAAGGATATTTATATGACATAGCAATTTACCAGAAATGATGTCACTTGAAACCAAAGAATGGCTGAGGTCAGAGTTTGATCTTGAAATCTTTAATATCCCTTTATTTTAGGCCTGTCATACAAAATAATGATGCAGATTGCCCAGCCCCTACAAGTATCCCTCTCCTGTCGTACCACTGCATGTTTTGGAACTGTCTCATTTACAGACAGCTGCACAGCGTTGAAGAATTGAATCAGACGTGGAGCAGCTACATGTACATGTAGGAGTGAAACCTGACTGCTGTGTGGTCTCTGCTGGGAAACAAGTAGCGGATGAATTCTGGCTAGCAGAATATGGGCAAACACCTTGCCAGGGAGGAAAGCAAGGCGATGGGGTGGTAACTACTGCAGGCCATTCTTGAACATTTACCTTTATAGAGAGATAGAATTATACCATCCTTCCAGTCTGCCTGCGGACCACAACTGCAGTTAATCCATAATCATGTCCCTTACTCCGCCTGTCTTAGGCTATGCATGGAGGTACATATGTAGGAAAAGACCTCCATGGCTTAACAATGTTAACGTTAGCCTACCTTACATCCACGTGTTTGATTGCCCAGTCTAGTGATTTGTACATGTATGACAAATATCCATAGATTGGAAATTTTACATCCACTTGAAGGGCAACAAAATCATCCAGCCAATTAGGACTGGATGTACTGGACTTACCTGTAGAAGGATCATTTGTGGATCAAAGTGGGAGACAAACTGCATAAAAACTTGATTAGCGCTGATTTCTGATGCCGCTTATTGTCAACTTCATTACCGAACTGAGACACCGAAGACTTCAAATTTGCCAAAGATAGTTTCTTAAGATCTTTCTCCTTAACCTGATTCACTGTTTTCACATATTCAGGGAAAATTCAGACAAAACTGTAACTGATTAGTAAAACCCCAACAAAGCTACGTGCATTAAAATATTATGCAAAATAAGTCACCTCATTCTTGCCAACCAGTGGTGCTTGTTCGCATGCGTGAGTGCAAGTAGCATATATCATGGCAAGGGTCCATTAGTTGAGAAACATTCACAAACCTGCACCTGTGCCTTGAGCAGCTAGAATTCTCAATATATACAATATGTGCATTTGCACCGAGTACAAAATTCAGCTGAACAGAAAGACACTACAGAGCAATACTAAAAGTCTGATCTGTACCGGTACAGTGTGCATATTCAAGGGCCAGACCAACAACTGTTTTTGGAGCACATCACAAGCAGGTACCAGTACATGAACATGCTGTGTGGTACACTGAAGTACGTACATGTACATGTACATGTACATACCTAAATTGTTACCTCTGCAGATAAGAGTTCACAACATTGCTGCACACACACAGTGCTTGCTGGCCGGGGAGTTGGAAAGCAAATTAGAGCTAGTGTTCACTGTACTGCTAGAGAGCCAATTGAATACTGCATACATTCCAGTACATGTACAGTATCTACTGTACATGCCATGTGCATTCATCGTACATGTACACATGACTAACACTATTAATAGTGCCTGGCCGTACCATACGGAAGTACAGGTTTCCAAAGCATTATTATGATTTCACCACGCATCCAAGGCTCAGCGCCTGATGACCTGCCCCAGGGTCAAATAAATTAAACACACATCTCACTCTCCCCCATACTCTGTTGACAAATTCCTCACCGTGTGTGAAAGATCCACCACTATAATTGTTTTGGCTCACCCAGTGTAAAAAACAAGAAGACATTAGTGCTGGAAGGTGTAAACAGCATCGAGAGGGGTATGATGGATGAAGCTGCATGGAAAGCAATTAATGAACTGTAAGAAGTGGTACTAGTAATCGTGGTATGCTCAAAACCAATCACTCAAACAACAAAATCATCCTTAATAAATATGAATCATTCAGCCAACACAAATTCCTTGTCTTTAATAATACAGGAAAAGGTTTTCAAAACTGCGAGAAAACGTACATGCACTGACCTCAAGGCAGATTTTATCACACAAGAAAGGGTTGGTGCTTTATACACGGTACATCCCCGCAACAGTGCTACTGTGTGGGAAGCAAGCAATTCCAAGCGAGCAGGCTACTGATGAAGGCACATGGACATGTACACAACCAGAATGACCATTCACAAGATGAGGATGACATGGGAGGGTGGAGGTGATGTCACGCAGTGAACACTCGAGGGCAGTATTTCACTTTCACTGATGCAGCAAAGTACACTACCATATCAGTAGGCCGACATGCATGACATGTACTGTACATGTACATGTACCGTAATTTCTGGGTGCTGTTTGGTTTTACTGATTAAGTTGGTTCCACAGTCCCGTTTGCTCATTCAGAAAACAATTTTCAAATGCCAGTACACGTAATTCATTTATTTATTTTTTCAAAGTCCTGCTGCCCCTGAAACTGTATTGATAGCCCATTATTTTCATTTTCAGCATTTTTGTGGGTTCTCGATGTTGAAACCACAACAACTTATCGGGACTTAATTCAACCACACAAAAATTGCTAGGCTTTTCAAATGGCCAGGCTTTGTCACAAATGTCACTATTTAAGTTTTCTTCCCATATCCTGAACATGTTAGGCTTTTCTCAATGCTTCTGTTGGTTTCAGCAGCTGCTCCAAATTCTGTTACATGCCCAGTATCATTATCCAATTACTGTCTGTGTATTTGTCACTTAAGAGGACCCCTACGGGAAGAGCTCAAAAGGCCTTTTGCGAGTTAAACTTGATTAAAATCTGGTACACTGAGTTCTTTAACATCATTCGAATATACCCATTTGAATTCTCCATACAAAAGACACTGTTGCTAGGTACATGTACTTCATGATTTGGCAAGCTTTTGCCTAGTTACATGTACATTGTACATGTACAAGGCACTGTTCTAAATGGATAAGGGCACAAAGGAACCAGTCCATTCCAGAGATGGTGGTCGCTATGCAAAAGCTTGCCCCGAATCACGAGGAACAGCAACAGTGTCATTAGTCTGGGGAATTCAAATTATAACGTTTAGCGGTATGTGCAATCAGATACATGTAGTTCAGTGTACCGATACCAGATTTTATTTAAATTTAACTCGCAAAAGGTTTGTTGGGTCTAAAGAACTGCATTAGCTACTGGCAGCCTATTTATTTACCCAAACCATCCACTTTTCTAAAAAAGAAATCCACATGGT